TTCACTTGCTTTCCCAGCCATGCATCTCATTGACCCATGTACTAAAATAATTTAATCTAACTTAAATATCAATAGTAAAACCCAGATTTCCACGTCTAATACAAATTAAAAAATAATTATTCCCCATATAAAATCAAATTATAAATGTTTAGAATTGTTTATAATCCTTATGAACGCTAATAAGGAATAATCGATACTAAATATTTAAAATTGTTTCTTTCTATAAAAAAAAATTCCATAGTTGAATTCTTTATTTCTTGCCTAATAATGGCTCTAGAATTCGGTAATATTTATCCGCCTCAATAAGTATATATATTGATATCAACTTCGTCTCCTTGCGAGCACGCATAACCTAACCAAGCTATCGATAGCAGCAGATCGATGAGGCCGTCCACCATCTGTATTCTCCTCGCGGTGGCAGTCCTCCTCCTCCACCACCACCTCCTCCCCGGGGTGGAGGCATCGGTTGAGAAGGCGTGCAGGGACGCGGCGAATAGCAGCCCCAATATCAAGTATGACTTCTGCGTGGCGGAACTCCTCCCGTACCCGGGGAGCGGGTCGGCGGACCAGAAGTCGCTGACGGTGATCGCGGCTACCTTGGCGAAGGACAAAACCACCAGCGCCAGCGCTAAGGTCAAGAGTTTGCTAGCCAGAACGAGTGATCCAAAGACGAAGCAGGGCTTGGAGTCTTGCGGGAGCCTCTACGAGGACCTGTTCTCCGACCTCAACACGTCCATCCCGGCCATCAAGGAGGGTCGCCTGGTCGACGCCAAGACCTATCTTAGCGCCGCTGTGGACGCGCCCGACACCTGCGAGGACGGTTTCAAGGAGCTGAAGGTCCCCTCGCCCTTGACCAAGGAGGACTCCGACTTGACGCAGATGTGCACTATTGCTTTAGCCTTCACCAATATGCTTGGGTGACTTTCTTGCCGTTACGCCTTTCCGTTAGTTATAGCTTTGATGTGAAGCTCCTCTTCCAAAAAAAAAAAATTTTCTTTTTCGAGTGGTATAATTATTAGTAATATTGTAAGAAGAGGATTCTTTTTAATTACATGCAATCAAATAAAATAAAATCATGTTGATTTTAGAGTAAAATTGTTTACCTGATGAATTGATTAGTTTCTCATATGTGAATTAAATATGATTAGTTTCTTTTTCTATCTAAAACTATTTCAAACCCAATAAAAATATATGATAATG